CTTTACGTTATTAGGTACGTAGAAACGTAAATTAAAGTAATAATTACTACGTAGTAAGGTAGGTAGTAGTTCGTACGTACTAACGTAACTACAACAAACAAGTAGTGTGTGTGTGTGTGTGTGTGTGTGTGTGTGTGTGTGTGTGTGTGTGTGTGTGTGTGTGTGTGTGTGTGTGTGTGTGTGTAAATAAAACTTCTTTATACTGTCATTTGAATGTGTTCAATCTGTTTATTTCTCATGCAACTTAAAATTCAGTCAATTTATCAATTACAGAACACTCCCCTTATTTCTTGTGGCTTTACCTGTGATACTTGTAGGAAAATCAGTTTAATCTAAAAATGCCACAGAGATCTTTTTAACACTTGTACAATTACCATAAAAAATAATCTCCTGTCTGGCACACACACACACATATACATTATTTATAACTACTGAATACTTACTCTCCATAAGCCTCGTATTCCCTCACTGTTGTACATGTCCAAGAAACACCTAAACATTCCTTTCTGTTTGTAATACTGATGGTGGGCCTGCATTCGTACCTGTATGGAACAATCAGTATAATCATTCTTATATGCCCTACATCACACCTTGTTTTAAGAAGAAAAAAAGACATCATCACAATAATTCAATGTGCCAGTAATCAAATTCTCAAGGAAACAATGAACAAGCATAGATTCAACTGTAGATCAATAAAGAAAACTTATAAAATTAAGTACTTGCTTTTTTTTTATACAAAGAAATCAATTTATTAACACTTTTGTGAACTTTGAAATCATATATACATACATAACAAATTTATAAAATGTTGAAAAGTAATGTTTTCAACAAGAAAACAATTTGTTATAACACTTCTGAGAAGTCTATTATTGTTCAATTTCATCAGTTACTAAGAGTTTGTCTTTTTTTAAACTATCAATTTCTACCTTCAAGACATCAGTAGGATTAGCAAGAGATGATGAGACCACTCCAGCAAATATACCACATATCATGTTCTTCACCAGTGTCTCATCTAAATGTGAATAAAGTAGACATATGACAAAATGTATTAAAAATACATATAAGATAGTAAACATTTAATGCCAATAATAATCATTGCAATCATGAACTATAACAATAATTTTATCTATAAAAATTATCTTTAATAGAAGTTTTAATTTTATAGGCCTGGCAGGACATAGCTGAATTATTTTTTTTATATTAACAGATGTTGTGCTTATAATATAACTTTATTATAACTCAAAAGAAGATTGTATGTCATGCCGCATAATAGTTTTTTTCCATTTCTGCAAATGGAGATTCAGTGTCTGAAAGTCAAATAGTGTGACTACAATAGTTAATGAGGGTTGTTGGTCTTTTAACTCTTAAAATCCAAATCATACCACAAACCCAATATCTGTCACTTCAATAAGACAAAATAAGTCAATTCCACTGTGCACAGTTAGTGAATATAAAAAGAAATATTACTTGCAAAATCAAAGTGCATATATTACTGATTGAATATGAAAAATACACAAATGCCAAATTAAATGAAGTAATATTTCATTTCATCTGAGATCATAAAAATGGTTTTAAAGCAAGCAAGAACCTTTCAGTCCTGACAGTTTATGCATGAAGGTTAATGTAGCTGAAAGACTGATTTATAAAATTATTACTTTAAAAATATGTAGAATTATCAGTAAATGGACTTCCCAGTAGCTCAGCAGTATGTTTGTGGGCTTAACACAAAAAAATCAGGTGGACATAGCACAATGACCCATTGAGCATCTTTGCTTTTAACAACAAAGAAAAAATCCTTAAATGCAGGATTACCATCACAAGGCTCTTTTGTATTGTAACTGTTACTTTTAGTTTAGTTTTATTTCCTTGAAATATAAGATAGGGGCACAGCCAGACTTTTAAAAATAATATGCATGAGACTGGTCAATGGTATAAACAAAAACAATTATTTGGTTTAAAATATATTTGCTTACAAAGATATGTGCATATAGTTATCACTGGAACAATTATGCTTCTCATTACAAGATACTTTAGAGACGTCACCAGAAATATTACGAGCACAGACGAAACTATATGTACACGTGTATAATGCACATGTCTAGCTATGCTGTTGTACGATTAGTTTTATTATTATTAACTTCTGATTAAAGCAAGCTTCTTATGTACTTAGGACTAAAAATTAATCCAGTAATTAATATAGCTAATTTAATATACTATTGTAACTAGGTGTATGCAAAGTTATCAAAGTTAGAATGGATTGATTCATTAGTTTGGTGCTCTTGTTATTAATATTTTCTGTTGTAATCCTAATATCTAATGAGGTTTGGTCAGCTTAATAGATTTCAGTTACTCCTACATTCCTATTCTAAGGTAGCAATGCCAAATCATCATCATCATCATAATAAACAATATATAAAAATAGATATAATAATAACACATAAATACCAATATTAAACGTTTTAATCAATACTGTTAATATAACTAATATTTAAGAAAGAGTAGAATACATTAAGATTTAATCCAAAACAAACATGAATCTAAAGGTAATGGTAATTAAGACTAATATTTTTATACCTATCAATTCAAATTTCATGCTGTAATTGGACATACTTTACATTTACAAGATTATTCAAACCTATGAAAGACAACAGCTGTAATAAGTGGCATGTAACTTACATCAGTGACATATGTTAGTTTTAAATAAAGACCTGACACCAGGCAAGTGTAAAGTGATTGTATTTCACACAAATAATACTAACATTCATTCAAAAGAATTACTTTATTTCCAGAAAAAATTTAAGTGTAAGTCTAATTATTATTTTTTGTATTTCTTATCACTTGATTTACAATATATCAAAATTTAAGAACAACAAAGGACCTACTGTTACATCTAGGCCATTCCATCCACTAAACTAAACTTTGAATAACAAATAAATAAATAAAGCACTTAAAGCCAGTTCTTATCCTTCAAATATTCATCAAGTCTTCCTTTAAAATTCTTTAAATTTACTGCTTCCACTATATCTGAAGGCAACTTATTCCAAAGGTCAACTACCTTGTTAGAAAAATAAACTTTTCTTAACTAAAGATGACTCCTATCCTGCCAAAATTTGAATTTGTATTCCATAGTCCTACCATTTTCACCTGTACAATGAAATTATAACCTCTTTGGGCTTATATTCATTACTTCTGTAGATACAGCTTAAGGTTCCAGTAACTGAAGAAAAAAGTAAATTTAATGATCCTGCCATCTCATAACCATCAAGTACAAGCTTCCTGTATCATCTCTCAAAAGCCCCTACTCTATCCTAATATTTTGCTTAACCTTAATGTATTTAAAAAAATCCTTATTATTAATATTTACATTTTCAATTAACCTTTTTCATATACCCTTTATAATTTTCTAATTTCCTGTTTGGCCACCTCTTTTGATCATGTATTATCCTCTTGGTCTCCCAACACAGTAATCAATATAAATTTCTTAAATTTATAATGTTTTTCTTTAACTATATTTTTTATATCTTTTGCAAACCAATTCGTTTTTTTTCTTGCAGCAACCCTTTTTTCCCCACAAATGTCCATCTTGAATATTTAAAAACAATTATTTTAAAATTTTTCCTTATTTGATCACTATCCCCAATAAATTCAGCTGCACAATTCACAACAGATAATCCTTGTCTCATCCTTTCAAACTTTTTTTAAAATTTGTAACCAATATCTCATTATTCCCTATCTCTATATGCAGTGAAACATCAAATCTAGATCAATGATAACTTGCACCCAGGTGTTCCATAACCTCCACCCTGTCAACCATTTCTATATTAGAAGTTAACAATAAATCTAAAATATCATTGTTCCTAATGGGTTTCCTAACCAATTTAAGAAATCCACCCTGAACAGTTTCTAAATACCTATTTCCCTCATGATTTGACTCTGACATTACACAATCTACATGCCTGAAATTAAAATCCCCCACAATTATGACCTCATTAACAACCTAGTTCTTTATCTTATTATAGAGTTTTCATTAATTTCATCAGTATCATATTGCAATTAGAAGTTTCCCTCCTTTTATTTCCTAACAGAAACCCACTCTCTTTGAAATACAGGGATATCAATTACTTATCCATATTAAGTAATCGACATCCCTGTATTTCAAATAAATTTCTGCCATCAAAATTGTCTGAACTAAGTTTCAGTAATACCAATCATATCAAGATCTTCTGTTCTGAATGGTGCTTTAAAGTCTTCTACTCTATTTTTATAGTTCTAGCATTACAATATTAACAGTTTAGTCTACCTTTAAAACTATTTCTGCAAGTTGTTCTCACATTATACTTTTTCTACATCTTTTTTTTCCCCATTAGTTAAGTTTATTCTGGCCCTCATTACTGCCCAGTGCTAATTTAAAGCTGCCCTGACAATGAGTTAATAGCCTTTCTAAACAAGCCAGCCCCTACCCTATATAAATGTAAACCAGTCATTCTATAAAGCTCCCTTTAATCACTGAACTGATCCCACAAGACCAAACAGCCAATTTTCTCATCCTTACATATTAATTTTTTCTTTACCATTCAATTAACCCTAGTGACCTACTTAAAATTTTATTCCCAACATTAGGTCTTGGCAGTATTCCTAACAGTTTTTTAAAGTTATCATGGCCCTTTCCTTTAAATGCCTTTACCAACCACTTGTTCTTACTAATTAGCTCTTCCGAATTACCTTTCTTACATCATTAGTCCCTATGTGTACTACAAAGACTGCATTGCTGCTAGCACCTTTTACTACGTCACTTGCTCAGTCAGTTATACTATCTACTCCTGCCCTTGAATAACATTATCTAATTATTTTCTCCATATTCACCCCACAGACTATCCTCTCCACCTGTCGTACTAAAGAACTACCTGCAACTATAACCTCCTATGTTTTTCATTCTCATATTTATCTGTCGCTTTTGTTTCCTTCCCTCCCATAGTTCCTCATCTGCACAAGCTAGGGTTGAAATCTATTACTTAATAGGACTTGCTCATTACAATTAAAATCAAATTTACACTTCTAGCCTTATTAGTACTACTTGTAACATCCTGGTAGTCATTATCAGCTACTGTATACTTTGCATGTAAAAGCTCAAGTTCCTCTTGAAATCTTGCTGCCATTTCCCACAGATCACTCTTCTCTTTATCCATTACCTCCAATTTCTCCTCCAACCTGCAAACTCTTCAACAAATTGCACTTCTTCACTACTAGCTTCCTTAAAAGTGCATGCCAGTCAAAGTTCCCAAATGAAACCCACTACTTACACCTATCATACCTTACAATCTGTGAAAGCTTAACACCTACACTACTTAATCACTGTAGTATGGGAATAAATAATAAAAACTAAATACAAGTAGACTATTAACAACTGTTATGTCCAACGTTTGAGAACTAAATATACTGCACTATTTCATCACTACTTAATCTTCACACTAAAATACTTAAGTTTATCTTTAAAATCAGAAGTGATAAATAATGAATCTTTAGATAGTGACTTAATAATACAATGTGTATAGCTTATTTTAAACTTACCAATATGCTGAATTGCAGCTAAAGTCATGTTACACACACACACACACATTCTGTAATTTGTAATACTTACACCATCAAGTACTGATTGAAAACTTTAACCCTACTATTAATAGTTACCCATATTGTTAAATCAACTTATCTTTTTATTAGTAACACAAGTTACTAAAATATAAAAATAGTCAGATCCTTAAACAGGTTTAAATGAAATATTCCAAAAACTTCAACAAAAGCTTAGCTTTCAAAAGTCTTCACTCTCCCATAGCACCCTCTTCTCATCATGTTGCTAACAATATTTTGTAATAATCAAAGCAAGTCATAATTATGGATATTATTAACAGGCCTAGAGAGTTTGAAGGTTAAACAATCTGGGTTGCTGAATCCAGATATTGTTCACACACAAGTTCGTGCAAGATTAAATGTGTAGAGACTAAAATTGTATTTGGT